ATAAGAACATTTATATTTTTTTAATATTAATAAATTACATATTATAGTAAAATAAAAAATATGGTTACCAGAATTATGAAAAGTGAAAAAATATATATATATAGATAAACAATGGAAACTGATAGGTACCTGATATTAGTAAAAAGTGCCCGATATCTCATGGATATACTATGCCTGATTTATTACCGATTTGTGAACTATAGGTACCCAATATAACATAAATAAAAATTGGGTACCCGATAAGTGAATGATAAATTTGAAAAAAAATATCAAAATTATCCAAAAATGCATACCTGATATATGCCCGCTATATGACCAATGTATATCCGAAACTGTACAAAAAAACTGCTCTAATCAGGTACCCGATTTATAAATATCAGGCACTTATCACACAACTATCAGGTACTCGATAGGTATGTGATAGGTACCCGATATATCAAATTTCGACCAGTGTATATAGTTATTACATGTTACTTTATTGATAAGAATTGAAAACTTCAAAAATTAGGTTTAGTATTTAAAATGGTTCCAGTATCACATACAGGAATTGCTATCAACAAAATGTTTTTTAAGTGTTTTAATGATTAAAATATAACATCAAGAATATTATCTACTATTATAGATAATGTAATTATTAATGATGCTGCAATAAATAATATAAGTCACAAGCTTGATGATCAAAATATGCTTGTTGCCAATGAAAGTTTATTGCATCAACATTGTTGTGCTCATATATTAAATCTCATAGTTAATGATGATTTCAAAATGTTTAAGAATATTATAAACAAAATTTGAGAATATATGAAGTGGATCCATAATTCACAATGTCATTAACAAAATTTTGAAGATGCTGTAGTTGGATGTTGTAATAAACTTGTATCAAGTCAACAATCAACTCTTGATGTTCTCACTCACTGGAATTCAGTATACTTAATGCTAGTATCTACTATTTTGTATAAAAATGTATTTGAGTGCCTTACATTATGAGATACTAATTTTGAACAAATTATACCTTTTGACAAAATTGGAAAAAAGCTAAAAATATTTGTAATTTCTTAAAGTGATTTTATGAAGGTAATAATAATTTTTTAATATGTTTTGAGTTTTTATTAAAAACTACTTTTAAAAATTGTAATAATGATCTTAGATAAGAAAATAAATTTGATTATTTAATTTATTTATTTAAATTTTTATTTAGAAAAATATCTTTTAATATATTTATTATATACTAACTAGTTATTTATTTAATATAGTTACAAATATTATTTCAGGAAGTACATACTCAACAGCAAATATTTTCTTCCATCCATATGTGATAAAAATTAAAATGTATCTTGAATGAAATGCTACTAATATAAATCCTTTTATTTGTCAAATGACCACACCAATGCAATCCAAGTTTGATAAATACTAGGCAGATATGGGAGATATACATTGCATTGCATCTATAATGGATCCTTGCTATAAGATGTCATTACTAATTCATATATATATAAGCAGAAAATGTATTTGTCAAGCACTGAGGTAGAAAACAAGCTAAATTCTATTAAAATGAAGTAAGTTATTTTGGATATAATGTTTCTAAATATAAGATTTCATTATTTTTGCTAATCAATATTTATTTAGAGCTATGATAATCTATAAATCAACATATATGCAAAATACAATTACTTTGAACAATTATCATAATTTTTCTGATGTTGTTTTTTAGGAAGATGAATTCATTCAAGATTTTGACCATTTTCTTGTGACTAATTCAATTAATGTCATAAATGAAATGGATGAGTTTTAACAATATCTTTCTGATCCACTTCTCCTCTGTTCTCAATCAAGACCATTTGATGCCCTAGCTTGGTGGAAGGAAAATGCACTGAGGTATCCTTCTGTGTCATCAATGGCAGGGGATATTCTTGCTGTTCCAATAACTTCAGTAGCTTCAGAAGCAGTAAGTAAAGTTTCAGCTAAGTATTATCACATCAATATGATATAATCTAACTCATATTATTTTTTTAGATATTCAGTACAGTGGGAAGAATCTTACTCCAGAAACTGTCGAAACATTAATATGTGGTTGAGAGGTGCAAAAGAATGAGATTGGGCAAACTAAAGGATGATATATAATAAGCAGTTTTTTATGTAAAGTATTTAGAATAAAATGAATTAATTCAATTAATATAGACGTATTGTTTCGGATATTAAAGGAAAAAAAAAGTTTATAGAATTTAGGACATTTTATTCATATCAGTTGATCACTATATATCAATTAATCATTGATTAGACATAGTCAAATTAGCTTATTCAGCCCGTTTACTAATGCCTTTTTCTTTCTATAATGGACAAAGCAAGTAATTTTAAAAATATAATAATAAAATGTGTTTAAAATTTATGGATTTGTTTTTTATTAATATAATATATACCAAATACATTAAATACAAATAAAAAATAAAAAAATACGCGTTTAAAATTTAGCTATTTTAATCCAAGTAAAACGTAGACACGTGCGACGATCAAATCGGTTACATTTCATGGCGGGCTGAATGGGCCGGGTCAAGTTTTAAAATAAAACCCGGCCCAGCCTATTCTCCGGGCTTTCTATTTGGTCTGGGGCTTAAAAATTTTTTTTGGGCTTGAATTTGGGTTTAGGTAAGCCCGGCCCCTAACTCTATAAAATGATGTAAATATCAATATTTTTATTATTCGCACGATCTCGGATTATTTAAGTATAATCGGCTTGCATTATTTACCATATATACTATTTATGTCAAACATGTGTTCTCCTTATTCGAGATGACTATTTATAGTCATATTTGTCATAAATTTCATATGTCAATATTTGCTTACAAAAAGAAATCTTCGTCTCTTCCAAACTGTTTTTAAACCCTTTAAACTTCAACGTATATAACTAATACTCCAACCTCACCAACAATGAACTTATCAAACAATAATAAAACACAAATCAATCGAAGGTTCATCGATAATGAGATTAGATACAAAATAGTAGATGAAATATGTTCTGAAACAAACTTGTATGCTATACTCGGTGTCGAACGATCTTGTACATCAGAAGAACTAAGGAGAGCATATATCAACGTACGTATATTTATTAATTTATTAAAGTTATAAATTTTTAATATTTTTAATGTTTAATAATATATCTATTTGATTAGATCTTAACAAAGCTATATAAAAATTTTCATTAAATTAATTAAATTAATTAAATTATTAATTAGAGGTCGAGAATTTGTCATCCAGATAAATTTCCAGAATATCCAAAAGCAACCGAAGCTTTTCAAAGTATGTTCACACATATCTCTCTCTTCTTTCATATATCCTTATATATTAATATTTATTTCCTTTATTTCGTAAATTATAATTAGAATTGGCTTATTCCTATGAAACACTTAATAAACCTTCTTCACGTCACGCATATGACATATCAGGAACAATTGATCTTGATGGTGTAAATGGAAATGGAGATGAGACATTACATAGTGTTTTATATCAAGTAATTATTAAGTATTTTCTTACCACATGAAGACTGTTCATTAACTCTTAGTTTTCATTCATAATAATGTAGTTATTCTTGGAATTTATGGATGGCGATTTTGAAAAGATTCGCTCTTTAGTTAGTAAGTTCTTTTTAACACAAATATAAAATCAATTAACATAACTTTAATTAAAATAACATTAATTAATATAACGTTAATTAACATGGTTTATTTAAAAAAGATGCATTAAATGAAGGTAATCCTGGACTCGATCTTGGGGAGGATGCCATTGAAATTTTGGAGACTGCATTTCGACGAATGAGAGAATTACTATTGGGTAAATTTATTTAATTTATCATTTTTAATCTAATTTTTTAATTTATTAAAATTTAATTTAATTTAATTTAATTAATTAATTAATTAATTAATTAATAATAATAATAATAATTATTATTATTATTATTATTATTATTATTATTAGCTGGAAAAAAATATATAAAAATTGCTCAATTCGAATTAATCCGTTTTTATGAAGTTCAACAACAATTACGAAATCTCAGATTTTTTAACGTATTTGGTCGATTTAAATTATCCTTGCAATTGACTCGGATAGCATTTACCATACCGTTGTTGATTGATAATGCAATGAAATCTGAAATTGATCATAAAGAATTAAATAGTAATAATAAAGGAATTTTAAGTGATAATATGGTTAATATTATTTCAGGATTTATATCATTATTGGATAATTTGGAACAAAGAATTTAAACATTTCATATCCTTTTCATATTGTATATTTGATATTAAATAACGTTCACACTAAAAATAGGATTTACTTTCATTCTCATGTATTTGATAAAAAATAATTTTTTTTGGTAGAAACAATTATTTTGTTGAAAAGAGGGTTAGGACTTTAAAAACCTGGAGTTTTTCTGTTTCACCCTGTTTAGTTCTCTTTCTTATTATTATTATATTTTTTATATTTACATTTATTTTTATTATTTTTATTGCATATTTCATCACTATTATATCATATATGCGTGTGAAATGTTTTATCAAAGGGATTTATTATTTAAATATATATTTATCAACATATAATATATGAATTTCCAGTAGTACAATCACAAACAATATTTAATTAATTTTTTTATAATTTTTATAATACTTTATTGGGGGTAAATGCAATGTTTTATGCTAAACATAAGAATTGTGGAAATTGTGATACCAAATTTATTATTTAGATGTAAACTAACAACTACTCTCGAAACTTTTTTTTTTTAAAAAAAAAATCTCATCTGACATTTGCTTTACCCCTCTCAAAAAAAAAATTTTTTTGTGTATAAACATCGTTATAGCATCATGGCTGAAGAGGAAGATTTTGCTCCAACTCAAACAACAGGTTACAAAGTTGGAGAAAAAAAAACTATCGACGAATATAAATCATTAGATGCTAACGATGAATCTTTGAATAAATGGAAAGCGTCGCTTGGTCTGAACACGTTGTCAGGCGAGTATATCAACTTTTCAAGTTAGAACCCTTAACACTATACAATTAAACTTATTTTGGTTTTTAATGATTATTTCTTTATACGGGATTACATTCAGCTTCAGCTCCCTCGAACGACAAGCGACGAGTATAAATTATTTATTATTATTATTATTATCATCATCATTGTTATTATCATTATATATAATATCGAATTCAATTTAGGTTGTTATCCTTCAACTTGCACTTGAAGTAGAAGGAAGAGACGATGTGGTTTTGGATCTATCTTCCCCAGGTATTTCACATTATGTTCGAAAAAAGATTTTTCAAATTATTTGATAAAATCTGTTAAGTAATAAGACGGATATTAATTTTTTAAAGAGGCTCTTCAAAATGTCAAGAATACCCCTTTTGTTATCAAAGAAGGAATTGATTATCGTATGAAAGTTAAATTTAAGTAAGTTTATTTAATGTTTATAATATTTATAAATAATTATTTTTATTATTTTAATTATTTAATTATCATATTATATTCAATTATTATTTAATTATTTAGAATCCAACATGAAGTTGTTTCGGGTCTCAAGTATTTACAAATTGTTAAAAGAAAGGGCATTAAAGGTTGAAATTATATTATATTATTATATTTAACATATATATATATATATTATTTATTTATACATATAATAATAATAATAATATAACATTTTCTAGTTGATAAAACTGAAGAAATGATAGGCAGTTATGGTCCTGGTGATGACCATTATGAAAAGAAAGTAAGTTCAATTCAAATTATCATTAACTCCTCATTGGGTTTGGGTAAGGCAGATTGCAATACCTGTTGATCTTCGGGTAAAATAATCTGATTTTTATTTGATTTCAGTTTATGGTCGAAGAAGCCCCAAGTGGTATTTTTGCTCGTGGACATTATGAAGCAAAGGTTAGTGTTGGTTGTAAATAAATTTTATAATTGAATATAAATAATTTTCATTAATTTTTTTTTTTTTCTATAGAGTAAATTTATTGATGATGATGGTACCACCCATATTGAATGGTCTTGGGTAAGAATCATTCTTTTCTTTAAAAATAATCTATATTCTTTTTTTTCAATCTATTAAACTAAATTATTATTTTTATTCCACTATTTTTTTTTATTCATTATTTCTAGTGTTTTGATATCAAAAAAGATTGGTAAATGTATAACATATGATAATATATATATCTCTCTCTTATAATTATTTATTATATTATTTCAATCAATTAAAAAAAAAAAAAAAGACAATTTCTTGAAAAATTCAATTTCATTCCAAAATGATAATGGCCCCAAAACCTTCCAATGTCTTTTTAATTTTTTCTGCTTCATCTTTATTAACATGTTCCTTGATAACTTTTGGTGCACTTTCTACAAATTTTTTTGCCTATATAAAAATGATAATTTAATTTATGAAACATAATTAATGAAATTATTGGTATTTAAATAATTATTTATAATTTACCTCCACAAGGTTCATTCCAGGCAGAATGTTTTTGATTTCTCGAATAATCTTTGTCTTTGCTGTTGCTTCATATTTTTCTAATTTTACTGTAAAATCGGCTTTTTCTGGTGCCTTTACTTCCTACTCCATAACAATATTCAATATAAATATAAATAATTGATACTGAGACCACAAAAAAAATAAATAACAAAAAAAAAAATAAACAAAAAGAAACAAGTAACGTACTTCAACTTTTGGTGCCTCGGCTACAGGAGCGGCAGCCACAACATTCATTGCGGGTAAAGCCACATCCTGAATATTCAAGCGGCTCTAATATAGTAAATTTGTTATATACAAAACTATACTTTTAATTTAAATACTGAGTAAAATATTAAAGAATAAACAATTGAAAATTACTTTTAATTCTTGAACAAGTTCCGCCGTTTCAATCAAGGTCAAAGAAGCAATTTGTTCTACAAGGTTAGCTACTTGCACACTAACTGTACCTTTTTTGGGTGTCGGTTGTGGAAGTTGTGTTTTTTCTTTCGAGGCCTCGGACGCATAACAAGCAATTTGTTGAGGGATTCTATTCAAATATATTGGTGCAAGCCCGAAAATGCTAAAAAAAAAAAAAAAAAAAAAAAATTCTAACAGCAAAATTTTTAGTATAAAATTGGATGGGTTTTTTTAGATGCTCACCTAAAAGAAACCCTACTAGAAAACGATAATATTCGCGGTTTAGTTATTGTAATGCAGCGTGACTAAATTATCACCAAAGGCAGAGTATAAAAAAGTATCCAATAATGCATTCGATTTATATAAAAAAAAAGAAATTTTACCATCAGGGACGATGATTAAGACTGAATTTCTGTACGTGATTGATAAAGATTATGTGACAGAATGTGATATCTTTTTAACTATGCTGCGCAATTGTGTGGTGATATAGAATCAATTTTATCAATTTTGTGAAATTATTTATTGTCCGGAGGACTATATAAGGGGGAGATTTTGGTTTCCGTTCATCTGATGAGTCGACACAAAATCCTGATCTCATAATCTTTATTATTTAACAAACAAAATATGTAATACCAATATTTTAACCCCTTACCCCCTAAACAAACAATATTATATTTATAAACAAATTATTATTAACAAACAAATAAAAATAAAAAATAAAATAAAAAGGTTAAATTTTTTCATGTTTAAGATCTGTTGATTTGATTTCAACTAATTTTTCTTCTTCTCCTATTTGTTCATATAATCTTTTGCAATTTCTTATATGTTGAAGTCTTTCAAATGTAAAAGGATTTAAGAGAATATCATCTATACGTGTTGCCCAAATCCCAAATCATTTGGGATTTGGGACGCCAAAATCCCAAATTACTAGTATTTGGGAT